GGCCGGAGCTCCTCGGCTACCGTAGTGGAGGCGGGGCCAGAGCTCCCAGGCTACCGTAGTGGAGGCGGGGCTGGAGCTCCCTAGCTGCTGTAGCTGCCTGCGCCTCTGCGGAACCCAGCCCCCTCAGGCTATCCCTGCAAACTCTGACCTTTCCGTGGGTGACTGAAGAACTCCCCCGAATCCACGTGTCTCCGCAGCTCCGGGAGTCTCAGCTGCTGGATGGATTTTCCAGGCCTCAGAGCTCTTCCCTTCCTGGCAAGACGATGCAGCCCTCCCTCCATGCCCGCAGCCCGCAGCCCGCAGCCTGCAGCTCGCTGCCGCCGCCGCTGTGCTGGCCACCTGGTCAGGAAATCCTGTCCAGCGGACCTTTCCTTACCCTCCTTGAGAGCTCCGTTGTCCCTTAGCTGCCAATCAACACTCCCTGAGCGACTCAGAAGCCACCTTTATCCTTTCTGGGACCAGAGTCAGAACAAGTCTGACTGTTCGGTCGCCATCTTCCAAAGACTACAGCATAATTTGAACTACTAATTTTTCCAGCGAAAAAGCAGTATTTTCCTCAAAAATTAATTTCCATACTTTATGCATTCTATTATTAACATAACCATACTGTATAATTTATCCCAACTTAATTTGAACTTGTAACTTTTAGATGCCTCAAATTTTAGGTGGCAAGTGTTAATGTTTCTCAGATTAGTAATACATTCACATTTTTAACAATATATTTCAAATAAAATACAAGACATATTCAATTAATAAGATTCAAATCTATCCTGTAGATTCTCCATATGAGGCAAACTCAGATTAATGTTTTAGTATCCTGTTATTTCAAAATACCTAGATATTAAAAATTATTATTACTAGAGGCCCAGTGTACTAAATTCATGCACGGGTAGGGTCCCTGTGCCTGGTGGTGATCAGGGCCAATCTATGATCGGGACGGGGTGGTGGGGAAGCCCAAGAAGAGTCTTGGCCACGTTCTGATCATGCTGCTGGTGTTCAGGAGTTTACATGCATCCCAAATGGCAGTCACCCCAACCAGCCTGTTAAGACAACTGGAATTTATATTGAGAATACAAATACTCTCAACCTGCATAACCCAAAGTAAAGTATCAGAGCCTTTCTTGAAATAAAAATGCTATTGAGCCGAGACCGGTCTGGCTCAATGGATAAGAGCGTCGGCTTGGGGACTTAAGGGTCCCGGGTTCGATTCCGGTCAAGGGCATGTACCTTGGTTGCGGGCATATCACCAGTAGGGGGTGTGCAAGAGGCAGCTGATCGATGATTCTCTCTCATCGATGTTTCTAATTCTCTCTCTCCGTTTCTCTCCGTACAAAATCAATAAAATATATATTTTTAAAAATGCTGAGATCAATGCATATCACTTCCCCCTTACCCCTAAAGCAAACTGGTTTATTTAATTCATTCCACAGGTATTTATAGGGAATACCAAGCACATGGGCATTGATGATTTAGCGGTAACAAACCATTACCACACATAATACACAAACACATGCCACATGAAAACTACAACAAAATTCGAACTACTAATTTTTGACCCAGACCCCACTCCCTATGAGCTGACACTCAAATGAGAAAATATTAATGGACATTTACGCTTCCAATCAGGATGGAGTAACAGGGACCAGATTTACTCTCCCGCCTAAATAACCAAAAAACAAAAAAAGAAATAAAACACAAACCAATGGACATCAGGCAACAGAAGGCAGTGATCCTGTGGGTGGAAAACAAACTCGGTGAGGCTCACCCACTGCCCTGGGGGCTGTCCAGGCTGCACAGAGAGGGCAACCAGACAGAAGCAGTGGCTCGGGTGCAGGGGTCAGAGGTGAGGGCTCGGGGAGAGCAAGGCAGCGGGAACTGGCAGGTCTGAGCACCGAGAGGAGACAGTGCAGAACACTGCAGAGGGAATTCTCCGGACACTGGCCTGGAGTTGGGAGAGGGCCCTGGACATGGAGAGAATACCTGCTGATAAGCACGCAGTGAGGCTGGAGCAGCACTCAGCACTCACACAGGCACCTGCTCCCACCAGCTAGACTGGAAAACTCGTAATTCATTGGGCACGGGAAACGCTTTCCTTAGTCCCGTGACATAGTTTGTCCCATGCTGAGCCCACTCTTCCAGGCCTGCCTAAAAAATTACAAAAGCAAGACCCATAAAGATCAAACTGTTTCCAAGTAACTTAACTGCATCCCCAAACAAAAGTACAGAATATTTGTAATACATACTCAGTACCCAATGAGATAAAATTCATGTCTGTATTCTAATAGAAAATTTCACCAAAGACATGTGAATGACAAGTACACAAATGAAAAAATGCTCAACATTATAAGTCTTTTTTTTTTTTTCAATAAATCCTGTATCTTTTATTTATTTTTTTATTTATTTTTTTTTGTTTCTTTTTTTTTTATTTTTTTTTTATTTTTTTTTATTTTTTTTTATTTTACATATTTTATTGATTTTTTTTTTGCCCCCCTCCTTCCCTCCCATGTATCCCCTCCCTCCCCAGAGTTTTATGTCCATTGGTTGTACTTATATGCAGGTATACAAGTCCTTGGGTTGATTTATTGTCTCCCCCAGACCCTCCTCCCCTCCCCGTTGTAATTTGACAATCTGCTTGTTGCTTTACTGTCTCTATATCTATCTTTTGGTTCATCAGTTTATAATGATCTTTATTATCCACAAATGAGTGGGGTCATGTGGTGTTTCTCTTTCATTGATTGGCTTATTTCACTCAGCATGATGTTCTCCAATTCCATCCAGGTTGCTGCAAATGATGAGAATTCCTTCTTTTTTATGGCAGCATAGTATTCCATTGTGTAGATGTACCAAAGTTTTTGGATCCAATCATCAGCTGACGGGCACCTCGGCTGTTTCCAGATTCTGGCTATTGTAGATTGTGCTGCTATGAACATAGGGGTGCATATATCCTTTCTGATTGGTGTTTCTAGTTTCTTGGGATATATTCCAAGAAGTGGGATTACTGGGTCAAATGGGAGTTCCATTCTCAGTTTTTTGAGGAAACTCCACACTGTTCTCCACAGTGGTTGCACCAGTCTGCATTCCCACCAGCAGTGCACGAGGGTTCCTTTTTCTCCGCAACCTCGCCAACACTTGTCGTTTGTTGATTTGTTGATGTTGGCCATTCTGACAGGTGTGAGATGGTACCGCATTGTTGTTTTGATTTGCATCTCTCGGATAATTAGTGACTTTGAGCATGTTTTCATGTGCCTTTTGGCCTTCTTTCTGTCTTCTTTTGTAAATATTCTATTTAGGTCCATTGCCCATTTTTTAATTGGATCATTCATCTTCCTTTTATTTAGTTGTATCAGCTGTCTGTAGATGTTGGAGATTAAACCTTTATCTGTGGTATTATTTGCAAATATATTCTCCCATACCGTGGGCTTTCTTGTTGTTTTGTTGATGGTTTCTTTTGCTGTAAAAAAACTTTTTATTTTGATGTAGTCCCATTTGTTTATTTTCTCTTTAGCTTCCATTGCCCTAGGGGCAGTATCAGTGAAGAAGTTCTTTTGGCATACGTCTGAGATTTTGCTGCCTGCGGATGCTTCTAGTATTTTTATGGTTTCCCGTCTGATGTTTAAGTCCTGTATCCATTTTGAGTTTATTTTTGTGTATGGTGTAAGTTGGTGATCTAGTTTCATTCTTTTGCATGTGTCTACCCAATTTTCCCAACACCATTTATTGAAGAAACTGTCTTGACTCCATTGTATATTCGTGCCTCCTTTGTCAAATATTAATTGAGCATAGTGATTTGGGTTGATATCTGGGTTCTCGATTCTATTCCATTGATCTATATGTCTGTTCTTGTGCCAGTACCAGGCTGTTTTGAGAACAGTGGCTTTGTAATACAGTTTGAAGTCTGGTATTGAGATCCCTCCTACTTTACCCTTCGTTCTCAGGATTGCTGTGGCTATTCGGGGTCTTTTATTGTTCCAAATGAACTTTTGGAGAGTTCTTTCTAGGTCGGTGAAATATGCCGTTGGTATTTTAATGGGGAGTGCATTGAACCTATAGATTGCTTTAGGAAGTATGGACATTTTGATGATGTTGATTCTACCGATCCATGAACATGGTATATTCTTCCATCTCTTTACATCTTCCTCTATCTCTTTTTTCAGTGTCATGTAGTTTTCTGCATATAGGTCCTTTACTTCCTTAGTTAAACTTATTCCTAGGTACCTTAATTTTTTTGGTGCGATGGTAAATGGAATTGCTTTTTTAATCTCTATTTCTATAGTTTCGCTCAACATTATAAGTCTTAAAATAGGCAAATTAAAACCACAATGGGATACAGCTTCACACCTACTAAAATGATAAATATTTAAAAAGCTGACCATACCAAGTAATGACAAGAATGTGGAAGAACTGTAATTCTTATACACAGCTGGGGGAATGTAAAATGGAACAGCCACTTAGAAAAGCAGTTTAGCAGTTGTTCACATTGTTCAACACACACTGACCCTGACCGCTCCGTCATTCCGCTCCCAGAGGTAAGCCCATGCCCACACAAAGGCTTGCACAGAAACATTCACAACAGCTTTATTGGGAGGCAGTGGGGAGGGCGCCAGGAAGACACTGGGAGATGAGGTAAGTACAGTCTCTTGATCGCAAAGAGGACTGGTGTGGTGCGTGTCATCAACATGGATGGCATCGTACATGTGAAGCGTGTGCAGCTGGGTAAAGCTGTTAGAATACCAATGGGCTCCCCACCCTGGGGTTCTCGCAGAACATTTCCTCTGCGGATGTTAGTTATGCTTTGGTAAAAGTACTCCAGAACTTTCAAGGAGCAGGAAGGATGCTCACTGGAGACATGCTGTATACACTGAGGAAGAGCACGAGTGAAGCGAAAGAATCCTCAGTCAGTAGGCCTGACGTGTGCTCGCCCGCCAGTGAAGCCCTCCCTGCCCGCCCCAGGAGGGCGCTGCCGGCCTGTGCCCTGCGGGGCCCAGCGGAGCCTGGGGCTCCTAGAGTCGAACGGCGGCCTCCAGCCGTTCTCCGAGCTCCTGGATCAGAGGCCCCGCTCTCCCTGGGGCCGGCCCGGAGGCTGGCAGCGCCCCCTGGAGGACAGCAGCCCGGGGGGTGGGAGAGCGGCCGCACAGCCCGTGGCCATCAGCACGCAGGGCGCCGCTTTCGTCCAGAACCGGGCCTTGTAAGGACCCTCCGCCAGCGGCTCCCCTGCCTGCCAGCCCCTCTGGCTCGGGGGCTGGGTCTGTGGTCCGGGCTGAGGAGGCACTGCCGTCGGGGGCCTCGGAGCCGTCGGGGGCCTCGGAGCCGTCGGAGGCCTCGGAGCCGTCGGGGGCCTCGGAGCCGTCGGAGGCCTCGGAGCCGTCAGAGGCCTCGGAGCCGTCGGAGGCCTCGGAGCCGGGGGCCGGCGAGGCAGGGCGGGCGGCCTCTTCCTCGCGGACCAGAAGGGCGGCCGCCTCCAGCTCATTCACTTCCAGGCCCAGCTGCGCCTTGGTCAGGGGCGCTTCCTTCAAGGCTTCTGCCAGGGCTGCCAGCCTGGCGGACCTGCAAGAAGAAAGGAAGGTAATGGAAACCAGTTAAGGAGGAAGAGGAAGGTGTTCACTAGCCGGCCTGTGCACAGAGGCAGTGCTTTCAGCGGGATGCTCCCTTCACGACACCCGGACCGCCCCGCAGCCACTGACATGGAGCGGTCACGCATGACCCGAGGCCAGGAGCTTTCCTTATGCTCCCAGGATGAGGAAGGGGCTTCTAGCCAGGACTCAAAACCCAGAAGCCACAAGAGAAAAGCAAAGATGGCTAACTTCACCTACAGAGGCCAACAGCGCCTGTAGGCAAACACCAGCGCCGTCATCCCTGAAGCCGAGGCTGATGTCAGCACAGCCTGGCACCCACCTCCACCCGGAGCGCGGGTGAGAGATACAAGCGGACCAGAAGGAATAAATAAAAAGGTATCTAACTTCAGGCAAATGAGCGAAATACAAACTGAAGACACTGAGATATTTTCACTTAACAAACTGGAGGAGATCCAAGCATTTGCTCACCTGCCCAGCTGTGGGAGGGCCTCCACTCGCTGGTGTAAGAGGAAGAGGCACAGCTCCACGGAGGCGCACTTGGCCACGGCTTTCACGGCCCTGACCAGCAGAACCATTCTGGAAATTAACACGTGCCACACACACAGGCCGGGCATTTCGTGCTCCAGGGGGAGCCACTGCCCTCCCCTGCTGGCCCAGTCACACCCAAATGCCCTCCCCTGCAGGCCCAGTCCCCCCCAACTGCCCTCCTCTACCAGCCCAGTCACTCCTAACTGCCCTCCCTGCTTGCCTGATCACACACAACTGCCCTCCCCTGAAGGCCTGGTCCCCCCTAACTGCCCTCCCATGCAGGTCTGGTCCCCCCAACAGCCTTCCCTGCTGGCCTGGTCCCAACAACTGCCCTCCCCTGCAGGCCTGGTCCCCCCCGCCTTCAACTGCCCTCCCCTGCAAGCCTGGTCCCTCACAGCTGCCCTCCCATGCAGGCCTGGTCCTCCCAACTGTCCTCCTCTTTTGGCCTGGTGACCCCTAACTGCCCACAACTGCCATCCTCTTCTGGCCACCTTGTGGCTGCCATCTTGTCTTGAAGTGACGGTCAATTGCATATTACTTTTTTTTTTCCAAAATATATTTTATTGATTTTTTACAGAGAGGAAGAGAGATAGAGAGCTAGAAACGTCGATGAGAGAGAAACATCAACCAGCTGCCTCTTGCACACCCCCTACCGAGGATGTGCCCACAACCAAGGTACATGTCCTTGACCAGAATCGAACCCAGGATCTTTTGGTCCGCAGACCGACGCTCTACCACTGAGCCAAACCGGTTTCGGCGCATATTACTCTTTTATTAGATAGGATACGGTACCAAGTTTAGGGTAAAAAAAAGAAGGATCCACAGCCTTACAAAACAGCCAAAACCAAGTGAAAACAGAGCCCAAAATGCAGAAAAAGAAAACGGAGTATAAATAGAAAGCATTCATCTGTTTCTTGCTGTAGTTTTGTCTCAATCAACTTAAGGACTATCATAAATTTTGTGTAACTGATTAGGTTTCATTTTCCCTGCCCAAACCTGCGAACCTTCCAGGCATAAGAGATTTGACACTAGAGCCGCAGTGGATAATGTGGCACAGGACACCAGTGACGCGGTTAAAGAGACATTTCCCACTGGTGATGGGATACGCAGGCTTGGCCTTTCCGTTTCAAAGGACACACACACACACACACACACACACACACACAGGTTCCATCTGGGAACAAACAGCTCCTACCGGGGATGTACCCGCAACCAAGGCATATGCTCTTGACCGGAATCGAACCTGGGACCTTTCAGTCCGCAGACCGACGCTCTACCACTGAGCCAAACCGGTTTCAGCTCATCTTTCTTTTTAAAGAGAATTGATGAAATGACATATAATTCCTCTCCACTGAAAAGAACCAATTCCGAACTCCAAAGCCGCCTGCCCAAAGCACACAAAGGAGCTGATCTAAATGCAATGCCCTTGCTGTAAGTAGAGGCTGCGAGCGCCCTCTAGCTGCCGGGGACGGAGCTGCTTGCCGAGGCAGGGGAGCACCGACAGCCTGCCCTCCCTGTAACTGGGAGCACCACTTCCTGCTTAGTCTTTCCAGGAACAACTTCTACCAACAATCAAGTACTGATTCAATAGAGAAAACATTGCAAGTTCCTCCAACCATACTGAGTTTGGGCCAATGAAATAACTTTTCACCCTATTTCCAACTTGCCTATGAAAAATAACATCTAGTTCACCAATCAGCAGAATGATATTCTGAACACTCCCATATTAGTTTCCTAGGGTTGCATGAAAAACTACCACAACCTGGTGGTTTAAAGCAATTGATGATTATTCTCTCACAGTCCAAAGGCTAAAAGTCAACAATCAAGGAGTCCCAGGTTTCTCTCTCAGTTTCGGGTGTTGTCACAATAAGCCAGCTCTGCCTCTGCCGGGACATGGCCTTCTTTCCTCCAGGCGTGCCTTACAACAACCCAATTTCCAAAGCAGGTCACATTCTGAGATTCTGGAAAGGACATAAATTTGAAGGGGACACTCTCCAACACAGAAAACCTCCTGAAGTTAAGTAGATAGTAAAGATGCTCATTCATGGAACATAATCAAAGCCATAAAGTAGAATCCAAAATATAATAGTAAACAGTGATTAAAAAGTTAAGATTTCACTTTGGGGGGAAAATTACAAACTACACAAATCTATAATAACAAAAGTGTGATATTCTAATTAGACTGGATAGCCAAACAATCTTCGGACATCATTCCAGACATCCTTCCAGATGAAGCTGTGGTAGCGAGGCCAAGGCAGAGGTGGTTAGGGGCGATAAGGCAGGCAAGTGAGGAGTTGGGACAATCAGGCAGGCAGAGTGGCTAGGTCAGTTGTTCTCAACCTTCCTAATGTCTCTATCCTTTAATACAGTTCCTCATGTTGTGGTGACGCCAACCATAAAATTATTTTTGTTGCTACTTCATAACTGTAATTTTGCTACTGTTATGAACCGTAATGTAAGTATCTGTGTTTTCCGACAGTCTTAGGCGACCCCTGTGAAAAGAGTCGCGACCCACAGGTTGAAAACCACTGTCAGGGGTCGCGGAAAACAGATATTTACATAACGATTCATAACAGTAGCAAAATTACAGTTATAAAGTAGCAACAAAATAATTTTATGGTTGTGGTCACCACAACATGAGGAACTGTATTAAAGGGTCATGGTATTAGGAAGGTTGAAAACCACTGGGTTAGGCGCAATCAATAAAGCTGGCAGGCAAGCATCCTGGATTGTGAGAGGGCTAAAGGACCGCCTCCCCCATGTATGAATTTCATGCACCAGGCCTCTAGTAAGTTTATAAAATACTTGACAAAGTCAATATATATGTTATAACGGCAACTATGCACTAATTCTCAAGATAAAGAATGAACCAAATATTAATGTATTTGTAACTGTGATTGCTACAACAAAATTATGCTATGGCAGTATATGACACTCATCACTTGGGCTGGTCTTTTACAGAGAATCACACAGGACTTCCAGACCACCACCCAGAACATCATCAGTTCTCGCAGGCATCTCAATCATGTGAGACTCAAGTCAGCCTGTGATCTTCAAAATAAAGACTTCCCACTAGCATCACTCTGCTGTAGAGATTCTCCTTCACTATTAACCAGCCCCTCTGACCCTCCTTGTCAGTGCTTCTGTGGTGAGCACAGCTCCCACAGTCCTTTCACTGCCTTGTGCAATCCTTGACCTTTTGCTCAATTTGCAATTTATTTGCACTGCACAATACCAACGCTCAACAAGGGTCAGACAGCAAAAGCCTGGCAGGATGGGTGAAAAGATGCTAAGAAGAAAGTTTTAAGTTAGAATTGAGACTAAACTTATTATATAGTTTGCTCATTAGTGAGTTTGTTGATGTTTTGACTATTACCATTTCTCTCTGTAACTTTCTAAGTACAGAAACTCAAGTAATGAATTTTCAGAAATAAGGGCACCTTCCCTTCCTGAGAGGTGGCTATAACAGATCCTCTAAAAGTTTATTTTTGCAGGGAGCATGCACATCAGCTATTCCAATCATTCCATTTTATAAGTGAAGCTGATATGGTTGGTTGTCTGGATGCAGCTTTTAAGTTTGAGGAACTTATATAGAAAGAGCTGCGACTATATCTTAATCCCAAAGTTCCCAATTTTGAAGGGCTATACTCTTTCAGTTGCTTACAACAGTGATTATGACAATAGAAATTATTTAATCTTTGAAAAAGACACTTGAAAATGTTAATGCTACTTAATTCTTATTGAGAAGTCAATTTGACTGTGATATAAAAGGTTTAGGAAAACACTGTGAGTAAAGCTAGAAAATAATTAGTATCAAACCATTCTTTAAGGATGTATTGACTATTTCCCAGAAGTCTCCAGCGGAAAATAATTTTATCTTTTCATGGGACTGTAACTACTCATGCCTCTGGCTCACTCTCTTCTAAATAAATGATCAATTCCCTCAAATAAAATATCTACCAAAAAACTTTAAATTCTACTTACGGTCACTAATGCCTTATCTCTAACCCTTGTTCCTAAAGGAGTTTAAAAATTCCAATTGTTTTGCATTTGAGAGAGGTAATTCCGAATATATATTATTACATATACTAGAGGCCCAGTGGTGTGTGTGTGTGTGTGTGTGTCCCTTAGCCCAGCCTGCACCCTCTCCAATCTGGGACCCCTCACGGGATGTCTGACTGCCCGTTTAAACAGGCAGTCTAAACAGCAGTCAGACATCCCTCCCTATCACAATCCAAGACTGCTGGTCCCCAACCGCTCGCCTACCTGCCCGCCCCTAATTATTCCCCTGCCAGCCTGATTGATGACTAACTGCTCTCCTGCCATCCTGATTGCACCTAACTGCTCTTCCCTGCAAGCCTGTTCCCCCCAACTGTCCTCCCCTGCAGGCCTGGTCCCCTACAACTGCCCTTCCTTGCATGCCTGGTCCCCCCAACTGCCCTC